GGAGGGGACAGGAGAAATTAAATTTGGATAGTTTCGACGAGCGAGTCTCGCGGGTTGTGGGAAATCTCTGCAGGAAAGATTTCTGCTCTCCCGCCGTGCGCAAGCGGATGTCGATCCCTCCTCCTCACTTCGCGGTATCGTCGTCATAAATCTATTTCCGTTAATTTCAATCGGGGAAGGACTCCCGAAGCGGACTCCGAAGAGCCACAGATCTCGCGTAATCTCATTACTGGTAAACGGACGAACAGGACCGGCGGCTAAGTTCCGCCCGGGGTATAATCAGGAAACGCCGTGGGCAGAGGGAGAGAGATCCCTACCTGTCGGTCTTCTGCTTCTCGCCGTCGAGCTCGCGATACGTCTGCTGCAGCTTATCGGTGAGCAATTCCAAGTTGCGCGTCAGTTTGTAATCCGCCTCAAATTGCTCCGACATCAGGACCAGATCTCGGGTGGCGTCGTGCAGAGGGACGTCACTCAAGTACAGACCCCGCCTGGAGCCGAAAGAATAAACATCGAGACGATATCGGACTGATATGACAGCGAGAGGGGGTAGGAGGAGGGTGATGTTTGTCACGTGAAAATCCATCCCTCGCCGTAGTATCAAGTAGTATACGTCACGTATAAAACTTTCAGCAGTGTCAACAAGAAACTTTAACCAATTACTGTTTAATACAGCCGAACAAAAGATTCCGAAGTTGACCGAGAGAAGTAAAAGAGACGCGACTTCCCCTTCCGCGAGGGGAAGGGAGAACGAGTTTAACAAGTCTTACTACGCGCAGTTGCCCGAGAAGTTTATGCTAATAAGCCATATATATATATATACTTTTCTATCCCGTTAGATGCCGATTTATTGCGCAAGAGCGATTAATAGATTTATGGAAAGATTACGCGGGTCTTACCTAGTTAAGTCGTCCAGGTTCATAACACTCGGGTAACACAGAAAGATAACCATATCGGTTTCGCGTATGTACAGCATTTGACCCTGAAACAGTTATTAAACCGTAAAGAATTCTCCACTAATTTCTATCTCATTCTCGATTCATCTCTTTATAGACTACCGACCTTTAAACGTAAATACGAGTACTCCTCGGCGGCGTCGACACGCATAACTCCCTTTTTCGTTCTTAGCACGTATACCGTATTGATATGCGACAATATATTCTCAAATGTTAATTCCAAATGCGGTCTGACCTATGATCCAAATTGACAGTTAATTAATATTGCATGTAATAGTTTATTAAAATGATAAACGTGCACCAAAATGCATCGGATGTTGCGGTTGCTTTAAACAAAATTATGCAAGCGGAACATTCTCATTGCAGTAATATCATAGGCACGCTGAATGCACCTATGATTCTTAAAATGCGGGATTATAATGGTAAGGCTAATTGACAGCATTACATTACGCACGAACAATAACGCAAATTATGTTAAATGGTCGGCTCGGACAACACGCCTCCGTGTCCGTCGCAATAAGCTGCACTTGATATACATTCACGTGCTTACGGGCGCATGTATGTAACGGCAGACGCAATGCATTGTGCATTAATGCAATTCCTTTGACAGGCAACAATTAGGAAGGTTTATTGAAAATTGATCAATATCAGCGCGGACAATACAGTGAAATGTTGAAGCGATATTATTGAATAAAAATTCTCTTGTTATCATAATTCGTATAATTTTCGAGCAACAATTAGCGACGCGAAGAGAAACAACGAGAAAAATAGCACGCCTTCTGATTGACCTGCGACTAATTAGTCTACACGATGCAAAAGCATTCGAAGTTAAAAAAACAAGTGAGTTACAAAAAAACATCAAGGTTCAAAAACAAATTTGTGACGAGGCAAACAAGAGATAAAAAATGTATAGACTGTAATGAACGTATTGTGCTTTGCTCGTCAATTCCGAGGTCAACTTACGGTTAAGAGAATGTCGCTTAGTTTGCAATGACCGCTGGTGACGCGCGGTATAACGCGCGTTATTGTACATCCGGTTTGAACTATCGTGAGGTCCCGATTAAACATCAGATGGAACGGAAAAACTCGACAGAACGTCGTCGGGCTGACCTTTGGCTCTACGACAATTCGTTAGGTATTATTCTTAATCCATTGTCCTTCTTTTTCATCGTGAAATACATTTTTACTGCAGTATTTCTTTTTATATTTGACGTTTGCGATTTTATTGCCATCACGAATTCTTTTATACCGATACGATTTTATTGAAACAGTGATACACCACTCACCGACAGACAATGTTTCCAATTCAGCGATCATAGGGTTTGATACGACTCCTGGCCCTGATGTGTCAGTTATGAGGAATTGCACGTGATCGCATTCGCTTTTGGTTTTCACTATCTGCATGTCAACGTCTGTGCCGTGCAGTTTTTTCGCGACAGTCTGTTTCAGAAATAAATTGAAATTTCTTCCACCATTCTTTCTCTACCCGTTGACTTAATCGTTCTCGGTTAAAATATTTCAGTTAAATAAAATCATCGCTACAGTCTCTCTCTCTCTCTCTCTCTCTCTCTCTCTCTCTCTCTCTCTCTCTCTCTCTCTCTCTCTCTCTCTCTCACTCACTCGTGAAACTCGCCGAGAAACCGAGTTTTTATAGCGTTGAATATATTTTCAGAAAATATTCCAAGATAATTAAATTTCACTCCGCGGATTTTGATTTCTCGAGTCTTGCATAACGAATCAGTTTTAAAAACCAGCAGTAAAATAGAATACCTTAACAATTCCAATAACGATGTGTTCCAAACCAGGTCGATCCGAATAATAATGCAAAATAAGCGCGCCGTCCTCGGGTCTCTCGGTACATCTAAACGATGGTGCCCTCATGCCTGGATATAACGTACCTAAATGATCGTGAAGCGCGTCCAAATTCTGC